CCCATTTTTTGGGTTTTTTTTCCCCATTTTTTCATTGTTTTTCCCAAATTTTTGGGTTTTTTCCCCATTTTTGGGGTCCCCGAGCCCCTCCCAGACACAAATTTGCGATTTCCTTTTTTTTGGGATTTTTTCCCCCATTTTTTTTATTTTTCCCTATTTTTAGGAATTTTTTTCCATTTTTTGGTTGGGTTTTTTTTTCCACTTTTTGGGTTTTTTCCCCATTTTTGGGATATTTTTTCCCATTTTTTGTGATTTTCCCCCCAAATTTTTGTGTTTTTCCCCCAATTTCAGAGTTTCTCCTCCAATTTTTGGATTTCCCCTCCGAATTTTGAGTTTTTCCCCCCAATTTTTCCATTTTTTTCCCAAATTTTTGGATTTTCCCCCCGATTTTTGCAATTTTTTCCCAATTTTGGGGTGTTTTTTTCCCAAAACTTGGCTTTTTCCCCCCAAATTTTGTGATTCTCACCCAGCAGGGGGCTCAGCCCGGGGTTCACCACTCGCACCAGTGCTCCCAGTTCTCCCAGTTTCCTCTTCAGCCCCGGCCCGAAATTCTCACCCTGGAGGAGAAAAACGAGGAGAAATTTGGGATTTTCCCCCAAAATTTGGGATTTTCCCCCAAAATTTGGGATTTTCCCCCAAAATTTGGGATTTTCCCCCCAAATTTGAGATTTTTCCCCCAATTTTTGGGAATTTTCCCCCAATTTTTGAGATTTTCCCCCAATTTTTGGGAATTTCCCCCCAAATTTGGGATTTTTCCCCCAATTTTTGGGAATTTCCCCCCAAATTTGGGATTTTTCCCACCCAATTTAGTGATTTTTTCCCAATTTTTGGGAATTTTCCCCCAAATTTGGGATTTTTTCCCCCAATTTTTGGCAATTTTCCCCCAAAATTTCAGGATTTTCACCCCTAAATTTTTGGGAATTTTCCCCGGATTTTTAGGAATTTTTCCCCCCAATTTTTAGGAATTTTCCCCCCCAAATTTTTGGGGTTTTCCCTCAATTTTGGGGAATTTTTTTCCCCCCCAATTTGTGGGAATTTCCCCCCAATTTTTGGGAATTTTTCCCCCCAAATTTGGGATTTTCCCTCAATTTTGGGGAATTTTCCACCAAATTTTGGGATTTTTTTTTCCCCCCAATTTTTGGGATTTTTTCCCCCAATTTTTGGGAATTTTCCCCCCAAATTTCGGGATTTTCCCCCCAAAATTTGGGGATTTTCCCCCCAAATTTTTGGGATTTTCCCCCAAAATTTTGGGATTTTCCCCCAATTTTTTTTGGATTTTCCCACGATTTTTGGGGGGATTTTTCCCCCCCAAATTTTGGGATTTCCCCCCCAAAATTTTGGGAATTTTCCCCCAAAATTCAGGATTTTCTCCCCCAAACTTTGGGATTTTCCCCCCAAAATTTGGGAATTTTTCCCCAAATTTGGGGAATTTTCTCCCCCGGATTTTTAGGATTCTCCCCCCCAAATTTTGGGAATTTTCTCCCCAAATTTTGGGATTTTCCCAGCCAAAATTCAGGATTTTCCCCCACAAATTTCAGGATTTTTGTCCAGATTTTTGGGGGATTTCCCCCCCCAAATTTTGGGATTTTCCTCCCAAATTTTGGGAATTTTCTCCCCGGATTTTTGGGATTTTTTTCCCCCCAAATTTGGGATTTTTTCCCCCCCAATTTTTGGGATTTCCTCCCGGATTTTTGGGATTTTCCCCCCAAAATTTTGGGAATTTTCCCCCCAAAATTCAGGATTTTCTCCCCCAAAGTTCTGGAATGCCCCCCCAAAATTCAGGAATTTCTCCCCCAAAATTCAGGATTTTCTCCCCCAAAGTTCTGGAATGCCCCCCCAAAATTCAGGAATTTCTCCCCCAAAATTCAGGATTTTTTCCCCCAAATTTTGGGATTTTCCTCCCCAAATTTTGGGAATTTCCCCCCCAAAATTCAGGATTTTCCTCCCGGATTTTTGGGATTTTCTCTCCCAAAATTCAGGATTTCCTCCCCCAAATTTGGGATTTTCCCCCCCAAAATTCAGGATTTCCTCCCCCAAATTTCGGGATTTTCCCAAGGATTTTTGGGGGGATTTTTCCCCCCAAATTTGGGGAATTTTCCCCCCGGATTTTTGGGATTCTCCCCCCAAATTTTGGGAATTGCTCACCACCATCTCCATGAGGCTGCAGAAAGCCCAGAACGCTTCGACCTCCTCGGGGCTGACGCTGACCAGGGGGGTCAGGACCTCGCTCATCCCCCTCACGTACCCTGCAGGACCCCAAAAACCCCCAAAATCCCCATTTTCCACCCCAAAATTAACATTTCCCAAAAACAACCTCAATTTTCTATCCCCAAAATCCCATTTTTCCCAAAAAAATCCCATTTTTCCCAAAAAAATCCCATTTTTCCCAAAAAAATCCCAATTTTCTACACAAAAATCCATTTTTTTCCACCCCAAAAATCAATTTTTCACCCAAAATCCCAAATTTCCACCCCAAAATCCCCCTGGGACACCCCAAAATTAACGTGTTTTACCCCAAAATCCCAATTTTCCCCCAAAAAATCCCAATTTTCCCCAAAAAAATCCCATTTTTCCCAAAAAAATCCCAATTTTCTACCCCCAAAATCCTGATTTTCTACCCCAAAATCCCATTTTTCCCAAAAAAATCCCAATTTTCTACCCCCAAATCCTGATTTTCCACCCCAAAATCCCAATTTTCCCAAAAAAACCCCAATTTTCCCCAAAAATTCCAAAAAAAATCCCCACAAAATTCACAAAAAAATCCCAAAAAATTCCCAAAAATCCACGAAAAATTCCACAAAAAAATTCCCAAAAAATCCCCAAAATCCCCCAAAATCCCCCCAAAAAATCCCCAAAAATTCCCCAAAAAAATCCCCAAAATCCTCCCAAAAATTCCCAAAAAATTCCTGAAAATCCAAAAAAAAATCCACAAAAAATTCCCAAAAAATTCCCAAAAAATGCCCCAAAATCCCCCCAAAAATTCCCCAAAAAATCCCCAAAATTCCCAAAATCCCCCCAAAAATTCCCAAAAATTCCCCAA